CAGAAATAAACTCACATATGTGATCAAATAATTGTCAACATGAAATAACAATGTTTTCAACAAATGATGTTGGGAAAGTGGATAGCTACATGCAAAAAAACTAGAAGTTGGACCCTAACTTACACTATATAAAAAAGTGAACTCAAAATGGATCTACGACCTAAATGTAGGAGCTAAAACTATAAAATTCTTAGAAGAAAATATAGGGGAATAGCTTCATGACATTAAATTTAGCAATTATTTCTTAGATATGACACCAAGAGCAAAGACAACAAAAAGATAAATTGGACTTCATCAAAATTTAAAACTTTTGTACATTGAAGGACATGATCAATAGTGAAATGACAACCATTGGATGGGAGAAAATATTTGCAAATCATGTCTGATAACGGGCTGATATCCAGTATATATAAAGAACCCCTACAACTCAAAAACAACAAAAACAAGCAATCCAATTTTACTTATTTTAGAATTTATTGTCAAGTTAGCTAACATTCAGTGTATACAGTGTGCTCTTGGTTTGGTGCATGATATTCATCACTTACATACAATACCCAGTGCTCATCTCAACAAGTGCCTTCCTCAATGCCCATCATCCATTTTCCCCTCCCCCATCCCCCTCATCAACCCTCAGTTTGTTCTCTGTATTTAAGAGTCTCTTATGGTTTGCCTCCCTCTCTGTTTGAAACTTTTTTTCCCCTTCCCTTCCCCCATGGTCTTCTGTTAAGTTTCTCGAGTTCCACATATGAGTGAAAACATATGATATCTGTCTTTCTCTGACTTATTTCACTTAGCATGATACCTTCCAGTTCCATCCACATTGATGTAAATGGCAGGATTTCATTCTTTCTCATTCCCAAGTAGTATTCCATTGTATACATAAACCACATCTTCTTTGTCATCAGTTGATGGACATTTGGGCCCTTTCCATAATTTGGCTATTGTTGAAAGCACAAGCAATCCAATTTTAAGATGGGCTAGGAACTTGAATAGGCATTTCTCCAAAGATAAACAAATGGCCAATAAGTTCATGAAAAGGTGTTCAACATCACTAATCATTAGGGAAATGCAAATGAAAACCATGAGATAGCTCTTCATATCCATTAGGATGGCTATTAAAAACAATAGGGGTGCCAGGGTGGCTCAGTTGTTTAAGCGTCCAACTTTGGCTCAGGTCACGGTCTTGCGGTTTTTGAGTTTGAGCTCTGCGCTATTGATAGCTCAGAGCCTGGAGCCTGCTGAGGACTCTGTGTGTGTCTCTCTCTCTTCCCCACCCCTGCTCATGCTCTCTCTCTCAAAAATAAACAGTAAAAAAATAAAAAAAATAAAAACAACAACGAAACCCAGAAAATAACAAGTGCTGACAAAGATGTGGAGAAACTGTAACACTTGTGTATATTGCTGGTGGGAACGTACAGTGGAATAGCTCTATGGAAAACAGTATGGCAGTTCCTAAAAAAATTAAACGTATAGAACTACCATATGATCCAGAATTCCATTTTGGGGTATATACCTGGAAGAAATAAAAGCAGACTCTAAACAATTATCTGTACGCTCATGTTTATAACAGCAATATGTTGGTGTAGGGAGAGGTGGGTGATGAATGTGGAATCAGTGCTCAATGTATACAGAGTTTCAGTTGAGATGAAAAAGTCCTGAGATGGGTGGTGGTGATGGTTGAACAACAATGTGAATATACTTGATTCAACAAAAGTACGTATTTAAAAATGGTTAAGATGCTAAATTTTATGTATACATTACTACAAAAAGTGGGGAAGTGAACCATCCTGGAAGAAAGTTATTACCATTTCTACTTGGTATATAAGAAATGAGGATTTGTGAGACAATTTTAAAGGTTGAAGACATTCAAATTCCAAGTTTCAGAAGCCACATCTAAAAATATAGTAAAGTAAACCCACCCAAAAGAAAAACCACAATGAAATGTCCACATCACACTCATAAGGATGGCTATAATCAAAAAGTCAGCTGAACTGTGCAGTTTTTCACAGGCACCAGGTCCTTCTGAAGTTAAAAATGAGTACTGTACCTTATCCATGTGAAATACTACACAGTCAATCACATGGAATTAGGAGTGAATGAACCAAATTTTCTTTCCAGAGGAGTTAATTCTAGGTATAACTCTGACCAGGGCCTAAGGTATAAATAAAAACATTAAACTTGGATGCAGTACTCCTGCTGATATTGGAGTTTTGATCCCAAACTACATTGTAGAGCTCCAAAGAATCTAAGTTATTTCCTTCTTTCTGTTTGTCCTCACAAAATATTACAAAGGGGGTAGAAAAGCAAAATTTCACATTTAAAATTACCCTTAAATGATCAAAACGCATAGAATAGTAATTACTGAAATTGAGGGAGTTTATTTTTAAAATAAATAAAGGGGGGGATACAAAGAAGAACTTTCTACAGAGAACCGCAGATGAGCTTTCCGCCTCACTCCTATCTGCACGCATGTGTCTCCTTTTGGAAACAGCCTGTATTCTGTCTCTGCTGAATCGTTAATAATCACTGGGTGCCCCCAGAGGCTTGGGGTGTTTGTAACACCACATGAGATAACTGAGAAAGCCCATTAGAAACCATAGAGTGGTGATGATTTTTTTTTTTAACGTTTATTCATTTTTGAGAGACAGAGAGAGACAGAGTATGAGCAGGGAAGGGGCAGAGAGAGAGGGAGACACAGAATCTGAAGCAGGCTCCAGGCTCTGAGTTGTCAGCACAGAGCCCGATGTGGGGCTTGAACTCACAAACTGTGAGATCATGACCTGAGCCGAAGTCGGACGCTCAACCGACTGAGCCATCCAGGCGCCCCTGATGATTTTTTTTTAACACTTGGAATAAGGTGAACAGGGAAAGAGCACTGAATCCTTGGCTGTGCTTTGAGAATGGCTTACCTTCTTGACCTCCTCTTATGATTAGACTTTAGCTGAAGGCCAAGGCAGCAAGCTAAATGGGCAGTGAACTCCCCATCTAGGGTTTAGCCAGGATGTAACTTGTTCTTAGGATTTTGCAGTTCTTTGGGTACTGAATTATATCTGAGCACAAGCTAATGACTGAACCCTGACAGCAAGGTCCTGTTTGGCATCTGGCACTGGCATTACAAGGCATCAGAGAGAACTTAAGAGAGGCACAGTGGAGGAAATGGCTCCCAGGGTGGGAGCTTGAACTCACAACCTTGAGATCAAAGAACCACATGTCCTACCGACTGAGCCAACCAAATGCCCCTCTCTTTTTAAAAATCAGTTGGTCTGAGGCCACACAATGAATCAGAGGCAGAGCTGGGATTAGAACTCGGGTCTTCTGCCTTAGCACAGTGTCCCTTCCCCAACACCATGTTGTTTATTTTAGCTCTACTGTCAATATTTCAAAACAAATTTGTTTAAACTGATAGTTTGCTCCAACACAAAGTCCAAAAGCTAAGAAAACCCCCAAACAAGAATTGCATCATGAACAGGGTAATACCAAACCAACAACTCCACACAATAACCACCTACATCAAGTGAAAAGAGTCATAAAGGATACATAGCCTTGTCAGAGAGGTGGGGTTTTTTCCTCAGCTTTACTGAGATAGAATTCACATACCATAAGATTTTTCATTTTATACAATTTAGTGTTACTTAGTATATTCAGTTATATGACCATTACTATATAATTTCAAAACATTTTCATCACCCCAAAAAGAAACTCTGTACCCAATAGCAAGTGTTCCCCATTCTTCATCCTGAACCCCGCCAGCTCCTGGCAACCACTAATCTACTTTCTATTTGTATGCATGTGTCTGCTCTGGACATTTCATATAAATGGAAGCATACAACATGTGGTCTTTTGTGACCAGCTTCTTTCAATTAAAATGTTTCCAAGGTTCATCCATGTTGGAACATATATCAGTAAATACTTCATTCCTTTTTATGGCTGACTAATATCTTATTGTATGGTATCATCTTCTTCTTTTTTAAGGTTGCTTTATTTATTTTTGAAAGAGAGCGGTAGAAAGCGACCAGAGGAAGGGCAGAGAGGGAGAGAGAGAGAATCCCAAGCAGCCTCCGTGTTGTCAGCACAGAGCCCGCTGCAGGGCCCAAACTCACAAAGTGAAATCATGACCTGAGCCGAAATCAAGAGTCAGACACTTAATTGACTGAGCCACCCAGGTGTCCTGGTAACATCTTTATCCATTCACCAGTGGATGAACATTTGGGTTATTTCCATCTTTTGTCTATTATGAGCATTGCTATGAATGTTCATGTACAATATTTTTTGTAGACATATTTTCAATTGTCTTGGGTAATTGTCTTGAGTGGAATTGCTGGGTCATAGGAACTGCCAGACTGTTCTGCAGGCAGCTGCACCACATTACACTTCTACCAGCAATGTACGAGTGTTCTAATTCTCCACATCCTCGTCGACACTTGTTATTGTCCATCCTCTCGATCACAGCCATTCTAGTTGGTTGTGGCAGAGTCTTCATAACAAAAAGTGACAGTTAAAATCTTCTAGGCAAGCACATTCTCTGATCAAGCACATGACCCACTGAGCCCCACAGGTGGTAGAACAGGACATAATACTGATTGTACTACCCTATCCTACTGCTGTGGTGCCCTCCCTAACAATTAAGGGCAGTGGTTCTCAAAATGTAGTCCCAAGACCAGCAGCACCAGCATCATCTGGGAACCAGTTAGAAATGCAGAGTCTCAGACTCTGCCCCAGACCTACTGAGTCAGAGACTCTAGGGTGAGACACAGCTTCCTGTGAGTCTAGTGATCCTGACACCTGCTCAAGTTCAAGGGAAAGCAGCATCTGCTGCAGGGCATCTTTGTCCCTCAATGTCAGCTTTAACCATCTTATTAGTGATGATTAATACACACCAAATCCATTATCCCCTACAAAGGAAGATGACAGTGACGAAGAAAGAACTTTCTAAAGGATTCCATCATGCAACTCAAGTGGAAGGATTTGATACTTTCCAGTAATGAGTGACACTGTTGATGTAAACTGTTCACAATAATTTATTTTGGACACAGAAAACCTAGCTGGAAGGTAAATAGGAATTTCACAAACACCATCCAAGGCAGTAACATAAATACAATTTCCCTCATACTTGCTGTTCTAAATATTCCTTGCCCATTCAAAATTTCAAAGAGCAAGATATCATAGTTCTCCTTTAGATTTTTGGAAAGAGGATGGCACAAGAGCTTCACATTCATTAAACATTTAAACAATCATTTAAAACAGTAAAGATGGCCTCACCAACACCATGTGAATGTTGACAGGCCACAAATACTCCCATGACCCTGGTAATGTTGACTATTATCTAAAAAAATGAGGAAAAAAACTTCTTTGGAAAACCACTGTACATTTCTTTCATATCCTGCCATTTACGGATCTTTTCTTTATATGTTTCTTACAAGTTTACAAATTCAGTAATTAGGGCAGGTGAAGCCCCTATGTGGTGACATTTTTGTTACCTCCTTCAGATATGGCTAGATCCACTGCTTCTCAAGTTCAGCAGGAGTGATCAGTGTGAGAAGGTGAGGCATCTGCCCAGGTCCCACCAGGGGATAAGCAACGCTCACACGTGCATGTGGATGTGGATACAGAGGAAGAACCACACACTGAACAGCAAAAAACTCACCATTAGAGTAAGAATTGCTATAATGATTCCATTTATTCTTTGAAACCCATTCTTCACTGACTGAATGGTTTTCATAGCATTTCTCTTGTCTGGGACATCACAGTTTCTCTGAGCAGATTCAAAACCTTCTCATAAGTGTCTAGAATTTCCCGAGCAGTGGGTCTTTCTGCAGGAGTCTGGCTCTTACACGCCTTATGAATATCAAACAAATGAAATCGGACCATATCACTTCCTTCAACGTGCCCCAAAAGGAAACTAGAGACATCTGGAATCTTCCAGATGTCGATCTTCTCATCATATGACGGCATGAGATCATCGTCAAAAGGCATGTCTTCTCCGTAGGGCCACAGCTGCTCTGGAGCCACAAAGTCCCCGTGAAGCTCCCTGTGGCCACACTTCACAAACGTCCTTGAGCTGTGGTTCACCAGGGGCAAGGCGTCCAGGTCGTTTACCACAATGCTGAAGTTGCTCGTCAGCAGATACTGGGACAAGGTCTTGGGCAGGTCACTGGAATCGCACATGACCAGGGTACCCAGGGGGCTGTGGTGCAGGTAGTGGATGATGGCCACGTAATTCATGGCCAGCTGCAGCCTGTGCTGCCACGTGTTCACACTGTGGTACTTGGAAAGGTTGAGCGTTTCTTCCAGATTGCTCAAGGAACCTAAGGGGTGATATTCGGTAAGAATCGTGTTGTCCTCCTCACAGTATCCAAGCAAGGTGACAACATGTTTACTCTGCAGGGTTTTCAGCATCCGCAGCCCATGCAGGAAATCATCTTTCATCTCCAGACTGGTGAGCCGTGACAGCGCGACTTTGCGTTCCTTCCACTCAGACAGAAAGACCTGAAACCAAGCCAGAGACAATCAAACCTGAAACCGTCACCTGTGTTAGTGAGCAGGAAACCAACCCCACAGGTGCAGAGAAGGTAGAAACTAGGCAGACAAACCCAGTCCTAGAGTGGCTCTCAGCCTGGTCACAAAGACTCACTGCTAAGCAAACACAGGCACCCAGTGCAGAAGGCCTAGGGCAGGCCCAGGAGGGACTCTGCTTAGGATGCTGAGGGCCATCTGGAGAGGGTGTTGGAAGGTTCCTGGGAGTTGGGCTGAAGGATGACTGGGGCTTGCAGGGTGGATGTGGAGAATGGGAAGTGCACTCCCAGAAGAGGGGGCTGCTGTATAAAGGCACGGAGTGGCAAAATGACCAGGTCTAAATTCCTGCAGCAGAAAGGGCTGAGGATGGGGAGGACCAGGGGAGAAGACTGGAAAAGTGGGAGTCCACCTGGCCAGCACCTCACGCATCACAATATTACTTGTTCATTTTTCAAGGTAGTATAGCAAACCACAGAAACAGTTTTAGGTAAGGAAAACAATTTTACATGGCGTGTGGTTTTGTGTTACTTCCACTGTAACAGCAGAAGCTGAAACACACGCAGACACTAGAGCTGCCCATCCTCGTGTGGCCAACAGGGGAACAACTGCACAGGAAGCCTCGGTTCTCCATTTTATTAGCCAGGAAAGGCTTGTGGGAAGTACTGTCATTAAGAACCTCTGATCTTCTGCTTAAATCCCCAAAGGGAAGGCAGAAGCCTGCACAAGAGAAAACGGGCTCAGAAGTGGGGAGATGGCTGCCCCAGGCTGCTTCTGCTGCTAGCGGGCTGTTTCTCTGTGCTTCTACTTACTCTTTAAAACAAAGCTTACGGTTTTCGAAACCAATCTGGAGCATGATTTATCAAGTGCCTTTAGCATCAAATCTAAAATCTATCTAAGGAAGTAATCGGAGATAGAACAAATCTCTAGGAATAAAAATCTGGCACTACTTATAAAAGCATAAACTGGAACCTATCCGTCCATCAAAAAATGGGGAGTAGTTCAGTAATGGTAGACCACTCAAAAGAAGACGATGGGGTCAGCAAAATGCACATATTGAGAGTTTTCACAGATAAAAGTAATGTCACAAATGAAAAAGGATACAAAATTTCATTTATGTTGTTCTAACTGCATAGAACAAGTCAAAATTACATGGAAATCAAAGGAAATAGGCTGTTTCAGTTCTCTTCACATGCTAAGATCCTGGGCGATTTTTTTCCTTTATGAGTCACAGTATTTTCCAACTTTTCTAGAATGAATATACATGACTTTCATATTTAACAACATTTTTAAAAAGAACTCAAAAATATATCAAATGGAGGTGAGTTAGAGACCTGTGAAGATTTCTTTGGGATCTGAAAAGAGAGGTTCATTAATGGAAAAACCCAGGTACCGACAGTTGACCCTTAATATTTACAGAGAAATCTTTCAGGGCGCCTGGGTGGCTCAGTCAGTTAAGCGCCCTACTATTGATTTCAGCACAGGTAATGATCTCACGGTTTGAGAGTTCAAGCCCGCATCGGGCTCTGCACTGACAGCACAGAACCTACCTGGGATTCTCTCTCTCTCAAAATAAATAAAACTTAAAAAATAAATAAATAAAAAGAAATCTTTCAAGACCTTTTCAAAAACTCAAAATTGAGAAATTTCACTATGGATCACAATTTTTATTATTTCTTCTTCTTATTATTATTATTTTTAACATTTATTCATCTCTGAGAGACAGAGAGAGAACAGAGAGTGTGTGGGGGAAGGGAAGAGGGGGAGGGAGACACAGAATCCAAAGCAGGCTCCAGGCTCCAAGCTGTCAGCACAGAGCCCAACACAGGGCTCGAACTCAACAGACCACGAGATCATGACCTGAGCTGAAGTTGGACGCTTAACCGACTGAGTTACCCAGATGCCCCCATAGTTTTTTTTTTCTTAATGTTCATTTATTTCTGGGAAAGAAAGACAGTGTTGAGTGGGGAAGAAGCAGAGAAAGAGGGGTACAGAAGATCCGAAGTGGGCTCTATGCTGACAGCAGAGAGCCTGATGCCCGGCTGGAACCTGCAAACTACAAGATCATGCCCTGAGCCACAGCTGGACACTTAACCGACTAAGGCACCCAGGTGCCCCTGGATCATAATTTCTATTAAAAAGCCATTTTACTTGTATACCGACAACTAGTATAACACCGTATGTTAACTATATTTGAATTTTTCAAAAGCCATTTTGCTCTGGCTGCTAAATTCACTAAAAGTTTCATGAATACATATATTTATTCATATATATATTTTATTCGTATATATATTTTTTGACATGGAACACGTTCTCTCCATAGACCTGCATCAACACTGAACTCGACATTTGACTCCAATATAAAAATCTTATTTTTTGTTGAGGGCCTTCAGTTCCTTAGACCTATCTCCTCATGGTGACCACCAACTCCAGCAGACGCCTTGGTATCCTAGGCTCATTTTTCACATAAAAACAGTGATCACTTTAGGGAAGCTGCTACAATTTATTCATACATTATTCAATAATAAATGGTAGGGTGCTTGGGTGGCTCAGTCAGTTGAGTGTCCGACTTCAGCTCAGGTCATGATCTCACGGTTCATGAGTTTGAGCCCCACAACGGGCTCTGTGCTGACAGTTCAGAGCCTGGAGCCTGCTTTGGATTCTGTGTCTCCCTCTCTCTCTCTGCCCCTACCCTGCTCATGCTCTCTTTCTCTCTCAAAAATAAACATTAAATAAGTAAATAAATAAATGTTGGAAGAAGCTCAACCACAGGCCTTATGACTTCCTCCTAAATCCTTGTTTACATTGGATTTTTGTGCCTCAGATAAATGAAAGTCTTTGGAATCACTCACAAATATCTGAAACCTTCCAAGTTAAATATCCGCAGGTCAGGGATTGTTTAAGAATCATTTCTTAGCAGGGCGCCTGGGTGGCTCACTCGGTTGACTGCCGACTTCGGCCTAGGTCATAATCTTGCAGTTCATGGGTTGGAGCCCTGTGTCAGACTCTGTGCTGACAGCTTGGAGCCTGGAGCCTGCTTCAGATTCTGCGTCTCCCTCTCTTTCTCTCTGCCTGTTCCCCCCTTTGTGCTGTTTCTCCCTCTCAAAAATAAATAAACACTAAAAAAATTTTATATAAAAAAAATCATTTCTTAGCAATATCTAATTGAGTTGCTTTCTAAAATTCTCTTATTTAGAGAGAGCAGTTTTACCTTTTTTTTAAATTATAAAATTAATCAAGAATACTCTTCTTGGTAAAAATTCAAAAACAGAAGGAGATTTCCTTCCCCTACTTTTACTCACCCAAAGGAAACTTGTTAACTGGTTGGTTGGTAACCTCACAGCCATTTCTTTATGTGTGTATACGTGTTAATGCATACTTTATAAATAGCATTTGAGTTTACAGTGACATAAAATAAGAGTATAACATACATGTCATATTGCAACTTGTTTTTTTTCACATAACTAATACCTTACACTTTCCTGTATATATATTCTTTCTAAAGGTCATTTTTTTTTTAATGTTTACTTCTAAGAGAGAGAGAGGGACAGAGCATGAGAAGGAGAGGGACAGTTGGGGCGCCTGGGTGGCGCAGTCGGTTAAGTGTCCGATCTCAGCCAGGTCACGATCTCACGGTCCGTGAGTTCGAGCCCCGCGTCAGGCTCTGGGCTGATGGCTCAGAGCCTGGAGCCTGTTTCCGATTCTGTGTCTCCCTCTCTCTCTGCCCCTCCCCCGTTCATGCTCTGTCTCTCTCTGTCCCAAAAATAAATAAACGTTGAAAAAAAAAAAAAAAAAAAAGAAGGAGAGGGACAGAGAAAAGAGAGAGACACAGATGATGAAGTAGGCTCCAGACTCTGAGCTGTTAGCACAGAGCCCAACATGGGGCTCAAACTCACAAACCATGAGATCATGACCTGAACCAAAGTCAGACACTTATCTGACAGAGCCACCCAGTTTCCCCTAAAGGTCATTGTTTTTAAAGCTGCACAATATTTCACAGTATGGGTACACTACCTATGCTAGTGTATTTTCAGTGAGATTTTTCAGATGATCATTTCTTTAAAACTAAAGTGTAATATAATAAAGACTCATGAAATCTGTAATGGATGTAGTCAGATGAATTAGTTCCTTCTTCCATGCAGCTCTATAATCTTTAACATGGTTTTATGTGATCTATTTTAAAGACTTGATGGGCATTTAAATTATTTCCCTTTTTTTCTTATTAACAACAATTCTACAATAAATAGCCCTATATTCATAACTCTGTGCATGTCTCAAGCATTTCTATAAGCTGGGTAAAGTAGACAGGTGACTGAATGAGGAATATGGATGGCCAACACGACCCTCCAAAGTCTGTGCCAGCAGGCACTCTCGTCGTGTATGAGTGAATCTTAGGTTCTACAGCCTTAATCACGCTAGATATTATCAATCTTGCTAACATGTACCAATCTGAAAAATGAAAAACATTTTACTGTCCCAATTTATATCTCCCTGATTACTAATGAGACTGAGCACTTTTTAATCATTGTTGACATTTCTGTAGGTCTTCTGCAGAAAGTATGTTCATTGTCCTATATCCAATTTTCTATGGGGTTGTTTTGTGCTTATTAATTTCTAGGAGCTCTTGTGATCCTTTATTACAAATGTAAAGGATAAATTTTAGAAAATAATTAGTTTACTTTATGCGGTCTTTTGTAGTAAAAAAATAACTATTGTGTCTTCGTAAATTTAACAAATATTTGTGTTAATAAAAAAACTGATATAAATCCCTGCCTCTATGAAATTCACATTCTAATGTAGGAGGCAGATAATAAAGAAAATAAACAGGACATGTATAAAGTATACTGGAGGGTAAAATGTGCTCTGAAGAAAAACTAAGCAGGGAAGGGTTTTCAATTTTAAATAGGGTTAGAGAAGCTCTCACTGGGGTGACATTTGAGCAAGAACCTGAAGGAGGTAGAGGCATGAGCCATGTCCTATCTGGGGTAACCATGGCCCAGACAGAAAGAACAGCAAAGGCAAAAGCCCTGGGGTGGCAGCATGCCCACAGGCTGCCATATCAGCAAGGCCAGAGTGGCTGGAGAGGAATAAGCAAAGGGGAACAGAGTAGGAATAAGGTTGAAAAAGGGTGCAGACCTCAAAAAACCCTTAACTTGGTGAAAGGACTCTGGCTTTTACTTGAATGAGAAAGAGAGCCATTGGAGAATTCTGAGCAGAGGAGAGATGCTACTTAGAATTTAATGGCAGTATTCTGGTTGTGAAGGGCTGAGAGAGGGACAAGTGTGGAAGCACAGAGCCCACTTGAGAGGCTACTGAAATAATCCAGGTACAAGATGATGGTGGCTTGAATGGGGGGAGGGAGACAGGCAGAGAAGTCTGAAGACTGGCCAAATTCTGGATCTCTTCTGAGTGCAGAGACAATAGAACTTGCTGATGGACTAAACATGGATGTGAGAGAAAGAAACATGTGAAGGATGCTTCTTCCCAGGTGTGTGTCCTGAGCAACTGGGCTAACGGAGTTGTCATTAACCACATTGGGGAAGAATAAAGGAAAAGCAGGCTGGGGGGATGGTCTGGGACACAGTCAATGTGAGAAGCCTTTCTAACATCCAAGTGGAGATGGATGTGGGGTAGGCAGCTGTATAGAAAAATCTAGAGAGTTCAGGGCAGAGGTCTTTGTGCAGATAAATGTAAGAGGCTGGATGAAGTCATTCAGGGACTGAACATAGAGGAAGAAGGATCCAAGGTTAAGGGGGATGAGGAGGTGGACCCTGCAAAAGGGACTGAGAAGTGGACACTGTTATTTCATACTTTTAAGTATACAATTCATGTAACATCTGTTTTTCAGCCTGAAGTATTAAAAATAGATCACATAACATCCTTTAAATGTTACAGAAAACTAGAGGACTACAGAGTAATTTTAAGAGAATCAAATTCTTTCTTCTAAAAGGATCCAACCCAAATTTTATGGCTTTTTGATGTATTATATTTTTAAAATTTATTTTGAAAGAGAGAATGAGTCAGGGAGGAGCAGAGAGAGAGAGTAAGAGAGACAGAATCCCAAGCAGGCTCTATGCTGTCAGAACCCATGAGATCATGACCTGAGCTGAAATCAAGCATTGGACACTTAACCGAGTCACCCAGGCATCCCTGTACTATATTTTAATTTTAAAGGAAAAACATGCAGCTGTAAAGACTCTAACACTGATCTGTGATCTCATAAAGTCAACATCATGGGCTGGGCACACGGAATGACACATGAGGTTATACCACCTTCTGCTCACCCCTGTTCAAAACAGGGTGTGACCTGAATCATGCTTTCGTTATCCACGGCAATATAGCAGGACCTTCTGCCTTCTGGAAGAATTGTTTCCACTGTAATCTTTCTTCTCTCTCACGAGTACTGTTGCACCAAATCTGTTTCAGAAAATGCGCAGGCCCTTAAGATGTGGGTATTTCTGTCTTTGAGATGGCTGACAGAGTATGTATCTCATTCTTTTAATGTAATCTTGGGTTTAAAAATCAAAAATGCAGGCACTGGATGGCTCAGTTGGTTAAAAACTTGATTCTTGATTTCAGTTCAGGTCATGATCTCATGGTTCGTGAGTTCAAGCCCTGCCCAGGGCTCTGTGCTAACAGCATGGAGCCTGCTGGAGATTCTCTGTCTCCCCCTCTGCCCTTCATAGAGCACACTTGCACACTCTCAAAAATAAAATATGTCTTAAAATTTATTTAAAAATAAGCAAACAAATAAATAAAAATCTAGAAGTGAGAGGTGCCTGGGTGGCTCAGTTTGTTGAGTGTCCGACTCTTGATTTTGGCTCAGATCATGCCCTCAGGTTGTAGGATCGAGCCCCATGTCAGGCTCTGTGTTCATCATGAAGCCTGCTTAAGATTCTCTCTCTCTCTCTCTCTCTCTCTCTCTCTCTCTGCCCCCTCTCCACAACTCATGTTTTCTTTCTCTCGTAAATTAAAAAAAAAAAAAATCTAAAAGGGATAGTATGGTAACTGTACTAGAATTAAAATTAAAAACTTAATTGAAGGGGGGGCCTGTGTCCAACTCTTGATTTCAGCTCAGATCATGATCCCAGGGTCATAGGATCAAGCTCCAAGTTGGGCTCTGCACTGAGAGTTGAGCCTGTTTGCGATTCTCTCTCTTGAGATCTCTCTCTGTCTCTGTCTCTCCCTCCCTCTGCCTCTCTCCCCTGCTTCTGGGCGCTCTCTTTCTCTCTCAAATAAAAATTTTAAAAAATTTAATAAAAAAGTAAAAACTTAAAAAATACACATGAAATAAATTTTACCAAAAAAAAAAAAAATCTAAAAGAGATGAATCTCTCACTGTTATCTCCAGAGAATAAGATCAGAGATGGGGAATCCAAGAGGTAGAAGGGAAATTTACTTTGTGTTTCACCTCCTTCTGAATATTTGAATGTACTGCTTTTATAATTAAAGAAAATCAGAGAAGAAAAAGCAACAAGTCAATCTGCCTTTCAGGGGCAAAGTTGCACACTGCTCCAGGCAATCCCAAACACAAACCAAAAACACAGTCTGGGGAAAGACGAGGTTGGCTGCATGTCTGTATATTGAGGAAACCATCAAAGCTAAACCAGTGTTTTCTTTTATGAGGAATCAGCTCGGTCTCTTCTGTACTCACGTGTGAAAGTGTGCATGCACACGCACGCACGCACACACACTCACACCACCTTGTCCCTCTATTCAAACTGCTCCAACGGTCCTCCCAGTCCCACCAAACCCTATGTACCCCAGACATCAGCTGGCAGGCTGTGTCCGACTTCAGCTCAGGTCATGATCTCATAGTCTGTGAGTTCAGGCCCCATGTCGAGCTCTGTGCTGAGAGCTCAGAGCCTGGAGCCTGCTTTGGATTCTGTGTCTCCTTCTCTCTCTGCCCCTTCCCCGCTCATGCGCGTGCTCTTTCTCTTTCTCTCAAAAATAAATAAACATTAAAAACAAACAAAAAAATGTTTTTTAATAAAAAACTTTAGGGGTACCTTGCTGGCTCAGTTGGTTAAGTGTCTGACTCTTGATCTCAGCTCAAGTCATGATCTCATGGTTCTTGAGTTCAAGCCCCGTGTGGGGCTCCACAATGAGCATGGAGCCCACTTGGGAATCTTTCTCTCCCTCTCTCTCTGCCCCGCCCCTGCTCTCTTGCTCTCTCTCTCATAATAAATAAACATAAAAAAAATAAACAAAAAACTTTTAAAACATCAATATAATACCATGACAGAGTTTGAAAAGTAGAATGAGGGGCGCCTGGGTGGCGCAGTCGGTTAAGCGTCCGACTTCAGCCAGGTCATGATCTCGCGGTCCTTGAGTTCGAGCCCCGCGTCAGGCTCTGGGATGATGGCTCGGAGCCCGGAGCCTGTTTCCGATTCTGGTCTCCCTCTCTCTCTGCCCCTCCCCCGTTCATGCTCTGTCTCTCTCTGTCCCAAAAATAAATAAACGTTGAAAAAAAAAAAAAATTTTAAAGAAAAGTAGAATGAAAAAAATTGCTCATAATCCTTCACTATAGCACAATTTCTGTAATTTCTATATTTTCTACATAAATACATTAATTTTGCAGTTGAAAATCATGTATTGTGCAATTTTGCATGTTGCATTTTTTTACTTCTCATCATATGTTTTTTTCACACGAGATTCCTAACTACACTTAATGGCTGCAGAACATTCTATCAAGTGGATGGACCATAATTAACTAGTCCCTTACAGTTATTATTTCTGGTTCTCTATTGCTATAAATAACAAAGCAAAATCTCCTTTATGCATTTAGCTTTTTTCCTTCCAATGGATTATTTGGATAAAGTCCCAGATGCAAGATCACTGGGCCAAAGGTATTTTGATGGCTCTTAACACATCGTGCCAAGCTGCTATCCCAAAACACCACCCCAATAACACTCAGCTGTAACCCAGAACTCACTCTCTTCACAGCTCCTTCTCCAACACGCTTCAACTGCCTCACTTCGGTCCTCAGCTCCTCGCAGGACAGCCACGGTGAACAGTTTTTCATCTGTCCCATTCTGAAGTGTCCATGGGGACAGTGAGCAGAGCTGGGAGCAGAGCGTGGACGGGAGATGAAAAACCAATCAAGGGAGAAGTAGAGGAGCGTGTTCATGAGGGCCATGGAGAAGAGCAGCCCCACAGCTGGGGGCACTGCTCTGTGGGGGGCACCTTTTCTGCTGTCCTGGGCTTTCTTTTCCATACTGTTATCCCCTGTAATTTCCTGAATTATAAAATGAAACAAGAAATAATACCAGTCAATTTTTACGTCCATTAAGGTGTTTGGGTGACAAGGGGTTAAGGACACAGCCTCTCATGCCTCTTATGCCCAAGGATCTTGCATGCTTTATCATCTTTGTGAGGATTAAAGAAGGTACAGAATGCTCAATGTCAGCTGTTTTCAAGATCACTGTCTTTTTATTACAAACTAACGTCTGGGTTCATCCACTCTAGATTCAACCAAAAGGAAGGTGTCTTTGTTTCTCCCACGGCAATTTGCACTAAATAGATATTTAATGAATAATTAGTAAAATGAAAGAAAACTGCTTTTGTTAGTCTAGCGGGGCCAGGGCAGAAGATGGACAAAGGAGAGGAGCCAGAGAGGAGATGCGGTAGGGGTAGGGGTAGGGGCTGGATGCTGAGGGTCTCCTGAACCCAGCTAAGGAGCTGGGATATTCCCTGGAAGGTGCTAGAAAGCTCCTTAAAAAATTTTTTAAGGATTTTTTTTAAATTAAAGTTTATTTATTTATGAGAGAGAGCGAGGGAGGGGCGGAGAGAGAGAGAATCCCAAGCAGGTTCCACGCTGTCAGTGCAGAGCCAGACACGGGGCTCAAACTCACAAACCATAAAATCATGACCTGAGCCAAAACCAAGAGTCGGATGCTTAAATGAGTGAGCCACCCAGGTGTCCCGCTCCCTAGTGTCTTTAACAAGCAAGGCTAGGTGTGAAAGATGTGTTTGGGGTGGAACAGATGGAGGCTGGGAGACCAGGTAAAAGGCTCTGGCAGTGCTGCGGGGTAAGAGCTGATGAGCACACGAGCTGGAATGATGGTGGTGATCCTTGCACCAAGTAACTGCCAGGAAGGCTGGACACTCACCAATTCAGCTCTAGCATCAGAGCCGGTGTGAGGCCCGCAGTGGAGCATTACTGCCTAGTTGTTGGATGGCAGAGGGGTTGGCAAGGGAGAGGGATGGAAGGACCCTGGACATCAGATGCTTGACACTCAAGAATGCTTGAGGCAGAAGCTGTTTCAGAATCAGAGCGGAAGCATGTCAGTACTCTGACACAGGAGATGGCCATAACAGTGTGCTCGCTTAATATCAGTACTGGGAAAGGGGTACCTGGGTGGCTCAGTTGGTAGAGCGTCCAACTTCAGCTCAGGTCATGATCTCATGGTTTGTGAGTTCGGGCCCCATGTCAGGCTCTGTGTTGAGAGCTCAGAGCCTGGAGCCTGCTTTGGATTCTGTGTCTCCCTCCCTCTCTGCCCCTCCCCAGCTCACGTTCTGTCTGTCTCTCTCTCTCTCAAAAATAAATAAACTTTAAAAAAAAAATCAGTACTGGGATGCATGGGGAACACTAGTGACAGAATTGACTCTGTGCTTCCTATGTCTGAAATGACTGTGACATGAACAGTTACCTTCCACGGGCGTCTTCCTTCTCCCAGCTCAGGTTTCCACCCAGACACCTGGGTCACTCAGCGTTCTGGTTGGCCCCAGGCACTGGTTTGAAAATACTCTGTCACAAAGTACCAAAAAGGAGGTTTGCTGAATAAAAACTTCAACTCTGCACATAGACAAATGGCAATAATTCAAATGGTCCACCTTCTTCAGGGGCCCTCCTAGGGTCCAGGTATCCCTCAGGCCCTTGAACTCCAGGATGGAGTGGCAGCCGTGGGAAATCCTGCGACAGCCTGGCTTCCATCGTGAAGCCCTGCCAGCTGGTGTGAGCTCAGAGTCCTGCATCTGGTTCCAATAATCCACTCCCTCTACTCCATCACTAAATTCCAGCCCTCTCATTCACTCAACATGTATTAAGCCGTTTCCATAAGCTCAACTCTAGGCACTGGGGATCTGTGAGTAAATAAAACAGATGTGGTTCTTATCTTCTAGGACCTTAGAGGGAAGCCAGTGGAGAAGGCAGACAATAAACAAGTAAACAAAAAAGCTTCTCAGATACTGTGATAAGCTTTCAAGGACAGAGAATAACAGAAGAAATTCCCTGGATGATGCGGGGCCAGAAGACCTCTCTGAGGATTCACACTGAGAACAGAAGCTTGAGAGGGAACAGCTCTCTCATACCTTCTCCTGGAGAAAGTAAAATCCACTTGCCATTCATAGAGCTGGGACACCAGACATGGATCAAGCCAACTGCAAAATTCATAGAAAGCAGCATTTCTCCTAAGGACACACTACAGGTATAAAGTATCAACAACTCCCTTCTTTGAATGAAGACTGCTTTCTTACTCACTGAGAAACTCTGCTCTCTAAAGTCACACACTATCAAAAATTTTGCCACTCAAAGTCCTACCAAGAACAGGGAAACATCCCACTCTTGCCTGGAGGAGCTAAGTCTCTCTGATACAGAGAAGCCACCTCTGCTTCCAACTGGGTGCAGAACTGCACATGAGCAGTTTCTGGAGAAGGCATTCAACATCTATGTGAACCCTGTGGTCTCCCAGGAACCAGACTCTGGGGTCCACTTTGCAGTCCGGACCAGATCTTGACATCTTTACAGGCAGCCCTGCTTAACTTTGAGTCCATCAAAACATTGTTTCCTTTAAATTTTGCCTAAACTCCACCCACCCCCCAAATTCTAAATTTTTTTTTTTTTTACATTTTTAAAAATTTATTTTTGATAGAGACAGAGCACAATTGGGGGAGGGACAGAGAGAGACGGAGACACAGAATCCGATGCAGGCTCCAGGCTCCGAGCTGTCAGGACAGAGCCCGACCCGGGGCTCGAACTCACAAACTGCGAGATCATGACCCGAGCCGAAGTCAGACGCTTAACTGACTGAGCCACCCAGGCGCCTCACCCCCAAAATTCTATAAAAATAACTCTCTTTTCCTGTGATTGAGATGCCATGTTCCACTGCTCCACAGTCACATCCACTGAAATGGGTCAATACACCTGACAAGTTCATTCCTATGGCCTCAGCCCTTTCTCTTCTTTCTCTTGACTGCTCACTGGCATCTGGAATGGCTGATCACTCTCTCCTTCTTGAAATGCCTTTATTATTTGGTTCCCAGGAAGGTGCACTCTGGGGGCTCCTTTTGCCTCTGACTCTAAGCTGCTGTAGTGCTCAGGGCTCAGACAGACCTCTCCCTCAAGCTCTGTGATCTCATCCAGACTCTGGCTCTCTGTCCCCACCTGCTGACAGCTCCCAGTTGTAAAGCCCTAATCCCAGCCTCCTCAGAACACCACCCTTGGCTCCTTGACATCACTTAAACATCTGACAGACAATTCAAAAATAATATTTCTTCTCAACAATAAAAAGATAAATGACTCAATTTAGAAACGGGCAAAGGACTCGAACAGACATTTATCCAAAGGAGATATCAGATGGCAAATAGGCACACAAAAGGATGCTCAACTGTAACAGTCCTCAGGAAAATGCAAGTCAAAACCACAATGAGACCCACCTCATATCCACTAGAATGGCTGTCATCAAAGAGACAAGAATGAGTGCAGAGGAGGCTGTGAGAAAATAGGAGCCCTCCTACAGTGATGGTGGCAATATAAAATGATGCAGCCACTGTGGAAAATAGTCTGGAAGGTCCTCGAAAGGTTAAACATAGAGTTCCCCATGCAAATCTGCTGCTCGGTATATGCCCAAGAGAACTGAAAACATACGTTTATGCCAACACTTGTAGGTGAATGTTCACAGCAGCATTATTCATAACAGCCAAACAGCGGAAATAACCCAAAGTCCCTCATGATAAATGGACAAAAAATCTGATATTATCCAAACATGGAATAGGATTCACCCACAAAAAGAAATCAAGCACTAATCCATGCTGCAACATGGATAAAACTGGAAAATTTTATCCTAAATGAAACATGCAGACACAAAAGATCACATATCATAGGATTCTACTGATATGAAATATCTAGAACAGGCACATCCATAGAGACAGAAAGTGGATTAGTGACTGCTAGGGGCTGAGTGAAAGGGGAAGGGGAATGGCTGCTAATGGGCACTGGATTACTTTTGTGGATGAAATGTTGTGGAATTAGTGGTGATGGTCGCAAAACCTTGTGAATATACTAAAAATCACTGAACCATACACTTTAAAAAGCAAACTTTAGGGGCGGTTGGGTGGTTCAGTCGATTAAGCGTCCAACTTTGGCTCAGGTCATGATCTCACAAGTCCATAGGTTCGAGCCCCACGTCAGGCTCTGTGCTGATGGCTCAGAGCCTGGAGTTGGCTTCAGATTCTGCATCTCCTTCTCTCTTTGCCCCTCCCCCCACTCATGCTCTCTCTTTCAAAACTAAAGATTTAAAAATAAAAATAAATTAATTAATTAAAAACAACTTATGGCATATGAATTATATTTCAACTTAAAAAGATAACAAAACGGGGCACCTGGATAGCTCAGTCGGTTAAGGGTCTGACTGCAGCTCAGGTCATGATCTCTCCATTCATGATATTGAGCCCCATATCAGTTTCAGATCCTCTGTCTCCCTCTCTCTCTGCCCCTCCCCTGCTTGCACTCTCTCAAAAATAAACATTAAAAAAATAATAATTTATTAAAAAAAAAAAAGATAACAGAAATACTTCCCAAACTCAATGTCTGCTCTTTCCCCACAAATCCGCTGTTTCTAGCGGTCAGAATCTCAGTAAATGATAACTTTATTCTTCCAGTGACCCAGCCCATGAGGCTGCATGTCAAGGGTCAGCACAGCAACACTGCTTCCTCTAAGCAAAAAATCTTAGAAGTAGGGGACTCTTCTACCACCCAGTGTAGTTCTTCCTAATTAATAATAATTTTAAAAAATGCTGCTTTGCATGTCCTGGTTGTCACTAAGAGGTGTCCAGTAAACACCGGCTCTACTGAATTGCACCAGCCTCAAATCTCTTTCTTTTCTTGAAACAATGCCACCTGCTCAACCTGCCCTCAGTCTTTCCAACTACACCCATCAGTGTTCTGATGGATGTTCGCTTACCTTTCTCATAAAGACTCCAGGCCCGCATCTTTCCCCCTGGCCCATCCCCTCCTGTCTTCATGGATTTCAACTGGAACAATGACGACTTTGACCACTCAGGCCTCACAGTCTCTTGAGCTTCTTCCACCAGTACCTGATTCTCACAAGGTGCTCTTAAAGAAATGGATAAAACGGCTGCCATCTCTCTTTTACAACATTCAAAAAATGACCAAGTGTGTCTTAACTTAGACCTTAGGTCAAGAATCAGCACTTTTTTCTATAAAAGGCCACACAGTAAATACTTAGGTTTAGGAGCGAAAAGTTGAAATCCAGTGACAACGGCATCACATGACTTATGACCCACCAAGCAGCAGTGTAAAGTGATAAGAGGCCACAAGCTCTCTATCGTGCCATTCAACTCTATCACCAGGGTGTGAAAGCAGCCTGCAACAGTACATAAACAAATGAGTGTGGCTGTGTTTGAATAAAACTTCATTTATGGACAATGAAGTTTGAATTTCATGTAGTTTTCATATAGTTGTGTCACAAAAGATTATTCCTCTCTTGACCTTTCCCCCCAACATTTTTAGGTAAAAAGCATTCTTAGCTTGCAGGTCATACAAATACAAGTGGCAAGCAGAAGCTGGCTAGGCCCTACCCTAGCTGACACTATTCCTCTGGGTCTGTCACAGACCATCTTTCCATCCTACACATTCCCTCCACGTAATCTCATTCACAGACATGGTGATGCTATTGGTTGCCAAGTCTCCACTGTGGCCTAGGTCTTTCTCCTACACTTCACTCAGCTGGCTCCTCAAGGCCGGGGATGTCCATAACTGAGCTCTTTCTTGTCACCAGCATGCCCCTCCTCCAGGATTCCCTTACAGTGCCAGACACATAATCCACCTACTTGCTCCAGTCACAAAGCAAGTGACTTGGTCCCCTCTTTCCCCGACCTCTAAATCAACCAGTCACCACCTACAGTCAGTTCTATCACCCAAACCTCTCTCAAATCCCTTCTTATTACCACCACCCTGGTCTAAGCCTCTAGTATCTCTTACCTGGGCTTCTGCCAACAGTTTTCTACATGGACTCCCACTTCTTTCTCTTTTCCAGTCCATTTTCCAAACAGCAATCAGGATTTTTTCTTTCCTGAAATGTTTAAAGCATCAAAAATCTAAAAAATAATATCATGAACACCCATCAAGCTTTGTCAAGTAACAGTGCATCATATTTTTTTTTGAAGATCTTTTAAAAAGAAATACAGTTGAGGCCTCTTTGGACCCCTCCCAGTCCTATTCTTCTCCCTCCCAAGAAGTAATCACCATCCACAAGTTGATGTACATCAGAGTTCTCAAACTGTGGTCCCAGGACCTACAGCAGCATCACCTAGAAATGTGAGTCCTTGAGTCCTCACTCCAGACCGATTGCATCAGAAACTGAAGTGAAGCCCAGAAATCTGTGTTTTAACAAGTCTTCCAGGTGATTCAGAAGCATGCTCGAGTCCAAGAACCACTGACGTATATAATTCCCACACATGCTTTTTATTTTCACCACCAGTGTGCCTATAAACAATAACATAATATATGGATGTTTTCACAAGCTTCATACAAGTAGTATTGTACTGTATATACCTTTTGCAACTTGCTCTTTTAAAAGCTCAATATTAAGTTTATGACGTTTATCCACACAGACACATGAAGCTCGAGTTTGCCACATTCAACTCCACAACTAGCAAAGCAAGTGTTGTACACACTCCTGCATGTGCAGAAGTTTCTTGCTGGTATACACAGGGCGGTCTTTCTAAAGCACAAATCTGATCACCCCTTGCTTAAAACCATCTAACAGTCCTCCTCTGTCCTCATGATAAAAGTCCAAACTCCTATAAGGTCCCCTGAGATCCAGCCTGTCTGCCTTTCCAGACCCCTCCTTGCACCCCACATTCCAGGCCCTGAGCTTTCCTCCACCCTTGAAGGCGCCCCTCTTGAGAAGTCCAGGCTCCAGTACGTGGGTTCCTTTTTCCTCAACTGTGAGTTCCCGGAGGACTATCTGCCTGCTTTGCACACCCCTGTATCCTCAGCAGCTGGAAAATAGCCAAGAACTCAGTAAAAATGCACTGACTGATCACCCAGGATTCCTTGTCTTCACAGCCTCACACACTGACTCCTCTTTGCTTTCTCAGTCCCACCAAATCTGCTCTTCATCTCTTCTTGTGCCTGTCCTCTGATGCTCTCATCCAGCACCAACTCCAATTTGAACTCACCATCTTTTTAATTCGCAAACCCCCTTGCCGACAACCTTCCACTGATTCCACCTCGCCACTGGTAGTAGATTCAGTTGTATAGGGCCTGAAGCTTATACCATATTTTTTCTTTTGGAGGCATAACACTTTCTTCACTTCCATGCAAAGGGTGCCAACATCAGGTACAAATTCTGTAAAAATTCATATTTTTTAATCTACCTTAGATCACCATTACCCAGTTACCATTTAATGCATTTCTTATGGGCCCTGCAGTTAGTTATATGCTTCAATAGTCTTTCAATTATCCCTAAGTCCTCACATCCACTTCCGAATGCTCAAAAAGACTCATCCAAAAACTCAACTTTTACACAATGTCACACTAATTCTGTGAGGCATATATAATTGTTACTATATATAATTGTTACTATTCCCATTTAACAGATAAGAGAACTGAGTCAGAGGTGAAGTGACTTAGCCAAGGTCACTAAACTGTACATGGAGGAGCCAAGTTTTCCAGCCTCACATTCTTCCCCTAAATCCTTCAACCTTCAGGTGTTGAAGGTTCAGGAATTGAACATAGCATGGTCACTGCAGGGGTTGAGGGTGGATGCTGTGAAGCTGCCTATCCATCTCTCTCCTTTTTTTTTTTTTTTAATATTCTAGTATTTTTTTTAAACTTTTTTTTTTTTTGGAGAGCGAGAGAGAGAGAGAGAGAGAGAGAGAGAGAGATGGGGGGAGGGGCAGAGAGAGGGAGAGAGAGAATCCTAAGCAGGCTCCTGCTGTCCGTGCAGAGCCCAATGCGGGGTCCAAACCCGCGAACCGAGAGAGCATGACCCCAGCCAAAATCAAGAGACTGACTTAACAGACTGAGTCACCCAGGTGCCCCAAGACTGCCCATTTCTTAAAGAAAGCTTTAGCCCACCCCAACACCTGATGGGCCTTTTTTCTTTGAAAGGAGTATTTCTGGAGTAGGCTGCCAAGGGCTGTGGATAGGCTGTATGGCTGAAGGAATTTTGTCCTGAAATAAGCAAAATGACACCGAAAGTTGCTGCTGGTTTTGCAAGTTAGGGAAGAAAGATTGTGGGGCCGGCTGGGTAAGAGAAATTCAGGCGATGTTTAGACACAAAGGATTTCTGACATTGATAGGAAAAAGCTGGTAACAGAAAAAACTGGAAACCACTGCTCTACAATCACAGCTTATTTAAAAGAAGGCAATGGAACAAAATTAGTTTTTACCAATTGATTGAATACTGAATTCAACCAGAGGAAAAACGAATTGGCGTTACCCAAAAAAATTGAGAATAGAATCTCAGTTTGCCGGTAGAACACGAGGCACATTAAAATAATTATTTTAAATGTTCCGGATGCTTTCTTAACCTAAAGGTGCTACAGCCAAGGTAAAGGATGGAGAAGACAAGACTACTAACAAAAGGGCTGGGCCGGCCTTTAAAAACCGGCGGCACTGGACTATACCCTTAACACGGAGCCCCGCCCCCAGGGAGTGGCGGCACGAAAGACCCCAGGCAGCACGGGAGCCCGCAAGCGGGAGCCCGCAAGCGGGAGCCCAAGCCCGACCCGGGCGGAGGCGTCCGTCACGTAAAGGTGCCACTTTCGGCAGCAGGGTAGTCGCTCGCTGCTGGGGCCGCGGCCGCCGCCGGCCAAGGGCAGGCCCCGCAGGAAGCTCTTCTGCCCTCCGCGCCTGCCCGCCCCGCAGCCCCATGTGTCTCTAGAGTCCGAGCGGGACGCCGGGCCCGGGCCCGTGGCTTCCCCGCGCTCTCTCGCCCGCCTCCCCGTCTCCCCACCTCCCACTCGCCGCGCCTACCTGCGGCCCCCACTCCGGCACGCGGCCTCCAGCGCCGGCGCGGCCGGAAACCAGAGGGGGCAGAGAGAGCGCGAGGCTGCCCTCTGGCGTCCGCCTCCCGCCGCGCACCTGGAGGCCCTCGCAGACAGGATTCCAGCCCCGGTGCGCCCCACCGGTCTCCTCTCCTTGGCTTCTCTCTGAGTCCTTGAGGACAATGATGTGTTGACCTATTATTGCTTTAGTCTGGACGCCCAGCCTGGAGTTGCGTACAGTGGAGTGGAGCTATAAGATCTAAACCCTTCAAAAAGCTCCTGATCATTGCAAAGCGGTGGTCCCGAAGGGTGGTCCTCAGACCAGAAGCAGATGCTTCACGTCTCCAGGGAAATTGTTAAAAGTGCAAATTCTTGGCTCCATCCCAGACCTGGCGGCGGGTGGGGTCCAGCAATCTGTGCTTCTGGGTGATGCTGAAGACTCTGAAGGTTGAGAACCACTGGTGGAGAGGAAACTCAGGGGCTTAGCCTGCGCAGGAAAGCTGAGTTTCACGCATTCAAAGGGTGGCAGGCAAGAACTTTGACAAACGCCAAAGGAGGTGTACGGTACTGTCTGGAAAGGGGGAGGGAAGCTGGAAGGTCTCAATGCATCGCACTGGCATCTGTACCTGATGGAAAAGTTTCAACATTGAAAGTTAGATTATATAACTTTTTGTGGGTTAAACTAGAAGTGCTATTTACTTCTACACGGACATATTTTCCAAGTTCAGAATCAAGAGTGTAATTCGATGCAGGTTAAAAACTGAACCTGTACTGGGAATCCGAACAACGAAAAGTAAAATAACTAGAAGCAACTTGCTTTCAGATTGGCAAATAGGAAAGAGAATGGCAATACCTACTGTTGATGTACAGAATCTAAAAGTTTCCCCACAGCCATATATTAGTGTAAATTTGTATAACCCGTATCAATTCCTCCTATATATAAAGGGCTCTAGCAAATCCCATTTGTAGGAGTTTATCGTGCAGAAATTATTGAATACATGTGCAAGATGTACTGTATGAAGTGTTGTGGATAAGGAATGTTTACTGTAGAAACAAACCTAAATATTTAACAATAGGGCTTTCTGAAAGAGATTATATCTATGCAGCTGTTAAAAATGATGCTGTATAATGGGTACAGAGTTTCAATTTGAGAAGGTAAAAAAATTCAGGAGATGAATGGTAGTGGTGGTTGCACAAGACGAAGGTACATAATACCACTTAAAAACAGTTAAAATGGTAGGGATGCCTGGGTGGCTCAGTTGGTTAAACATCTGACTTTGGCTTGGGTCATAATCTCACATTTTGTGGGTTCAAACCCTGTGTTGGGTTCTGCGCTAATAGCATGGAGCCTGTTTGGGATTCTCTCTCTCCCTCTCTCTCTGTCCCTCCCACATGTGTGCTCTCGCTCTCTCTCTCAAAATAAGTAAAATAACCATTAAAAAAAATAGCATTGTTGGGAATGCAAGCTGGTGCAGCCAATCTGGAAAACATTATGGAGGTTCCTCAAAAAACTAAAAATAGAACAACCCTAGACCCAGCAATTGCACTACTAGGCATTTATCCAAGGGCTACAGGTGTGCTGTTTTGAAGGGACACATGCACCCCCATGTTTATAGCAGCACTATCGACAATAGCCAACATATGGAAAGAGCCCAAATGTCCATCAATGGATGAATGGATAAAGAAGATGTGATATATATACAATGGAGTATTACTCAGCAATCAAAAAGTATGAAATCTTGCTATTCGCAACTATGTGGATGGAACTGGATAGTATTATGCTAAGTGAAATTAGTCAGAGAAAGACAAAAATCATATGACTTCACTCATGTGATGACTTTAAGAGACAAAACAGATGAAAATAATGGAAGGGAAACAAAAATAATATAAAAACAGGGAGGGGGACAAAACATAAGAGACTCATAAATATGGAGAACAAACTGAGGGGTACTGCAGGGGTTGTGGGAGGGGGGATAGGCTAAATGGGTAAGGGCACTAAGGAATCTACTCTTGAAATCATTGTTGCACTATATGCTAATTTGGATGTAAATTTTAAAAAATAAAGAGCATTGCAATGGGGTGCTTGGGTGGCACAGTTAAGTGTCCGACTTGAGCTCAAATCATGATCTCATGGTTCATGAGTTTGAGCCTCCCATTGGGCTCTGTGCTGGTAGTGCAGAGCCTACTTAGGATTCTCTCTCTCCGCCTCATCCCCATTTGTGCTTTCTCTCAAAATAAATAAACTTTAAAAATTTTATTTAAAAAATAGCACTGCAAAATATTTGAAAACTGAACTGATTTTGGAATGTAGCCACAGAGTGTTGTAACTTGTGACCCACACCTAACTATAGCAAATGCTTGCTAAAATAAAAACATTGACATTCTCCACAGGATTTAAATAAGAATTAGAGTCTCATAACATTCAAAACGCCCATAATATAGAAAATTACTAGGTGTACGAAGTATCCAAAAATCTCAATTTGCATGGGGAAAAACCATTGACAGTTACCAATAATGAGATGATACAGATATTGAGATTATCTGACAAAGACATTAAAACAGTTATACACATGCTGAAACAATCATGGACACTCTAGAAACAAAAGTTAAAATAGAAAGTATTACAGAGCACCTGGGTGGCTCAGTTCAGTTCATTGAGTTCACTCAATCTCAGTTCAGGTCATGATCCCAGGGCATACAGCCTGCTTAAGGTTCTCTTTACCCTCTGTCTCCTCTCCCCCCTGCTCATGCTCTCTCTCGCTCTCTCTCTCTCAAATGAATTTTAAGAAATAGAAAGTATTGGTAAAGACGGGCACCCGAATGGCTCAGTCAGTTAAGCGGCTGACTTCGGCTCAGGTCATGATCTAAATGAATGGTGAATTGGAGCCCCACATCAGGCTCTCTGCTGTCAGCATGGAGCCCGCTTTGGATCCTCTGTCCCCCCAGCCCCACCCCACCCCCACCTTTCTCAAAAATAAACATTAAAAAAAAAAGTATTGGTAAAGAAATAGAACTTAGGAAGAATTAAACATTTTATAACTGAAAAACATATAACTAAACAAATTCACTTTATAGATCCAATAGCAGAATGGAGATGACAGAGAAAAAGTCATTAAACTTGGAGACAGATTAATAGAAATCGTTTAATCTGACCAAAAACAGAGAGAAAAAGAAAAAAAAAATGAGGACCTCAGGCACCTGTGGGACAAACATAAAAGGTCTAACATTCTTGTCATCAGAGTCCCACAGGAAAATAGAAAGTGCTGAAAAAATATTTGGAAATAATGTCTGAAAACATACCAAGTTTGGTAAAAAATTCAAGACCTAAGAAGCTAAGCAAGAAAGATAAATCCAAAGACACCCATGCCCAGATA